TGCATTAAAACAAGTAGTAATATTATTTATTTCATCAATAGATTGCATCGCAGAACCAGCACACTCAATATTACTTTTATTGGGAGAATGTGAATCAGTACTTAAAGCAATAGAATTCAGATTATCAATTGAGCCAGAAACAATTTTATCACACGAACTAGCAATTACAAGTATTGAGTTTAGTCCCTGTGAACTTGCAGTATGGACTGTCAAACTCTGAATTATTCCTAAGACTCTTTATTGGAGACTTAAAATTGACTGATGAAAGGAAGGTATTATAACTAGAGTTTACAGAATCTGGACAGACAACAAAATTTGTGTTTGGCAGTGAGCAAGGTAAAGACACAGAAGATGGAAGTTTCAATTGTTAAAGTCCAGCCTTAAGCTCTCCCTGCAGTAACACTGTTCTGGAGCATTTGTCCTTAACAACACAACAATCAGAGTTAAACTCAACAACAACATTATTATCCTTGGTAAATCTAGAAATGCTAAGTAGGTTTTTTGTTATCCTAGGAACACATAGAACATTTTTCAAGTATAAACATTTGGATTGTAAAGAACTAGGTAATAGAGTAAAACCTACATGAGATATGTCAAGGAACTCACCACTTCCCACCTGTAGTTGTTCACTTCCATGATAATTTTAGCTTAGGTTCAGCTGGTTAAGGTCAGAGGTGACATGATCAGTGGCCCCCGAGTCCATATACCAAGCTGGATCAAGAGATGTGGTTGAATTGGCTATCACAGGAGCTATGGTTTGTGGACTGCTCTGATGATGAAGTGAAGGTGGGGCAAAGTGAGTGAAATTGGTTTGATTATGGGAGGCAAAATGAGCCTGAGTGGAAGTATGAGGTTGTTGTTGGCAGGGAACTTTTAATCCTATTTGTGGTGAGGTGTAAGGTTAGGGTTGTTGTGGTTGATCAATTTGATAGTGGTGAGGATGGTCAGTATAAGATTCTTGTTGTGAAACCATACCATTATGGACTGGTTGTTGATATGTAAAGGGATATGGTAAAATTGATTAACAGGAGGCTGATTAGTGCCATAAGATACTGTTGTATGAGATTAATGGCCTTGAAATGAGCCAGCATCAGCAGGTTGTCCAGAGGATGCATATTGTGGTGGGTTCCATTGTATGTAGAGTTATATCGGTGGTAACACTGCACTGCAGTGTGCCCAACTTTACTACATAATTGGTAGACTGGTTTTCCTCTGCCAGTGCCACGACCTCTTCCCCTGCCAATTGTATTATAGTTTGGTGCTCTATAGTGGGAAAATGGAGATCCATATTGATTTACAGGACCATATTGATTTACAGGACCAGGCGTGACAACTTGATTAGCTGCTGGCATATTAGGAATAGTAGCAAGCAAAGAGTAGTGTTGAGTAAATGAGGGATTGGAAAGTGTATTCAAGGTTGGGATAAAGTTGGTAGGTGTATAGGTAGGATACGTTGGGGTTACTGTATGATGTTGAGAGGATGAAGATCTTGAGTTACTAATAGCAGCTATATTAACTGAACCAGGTGAGAATTCAACTGAATTAAACTTCTCAAGACGCATCTCATATTTTTGCAGCAAGTATTATGCCTCTTGTAAAGTGACTGAATCAAACTTAGATTCAATCCTTGAGGTAAAGTTAACAACAACAACATCAAATTCAGGACCTAATCCTTCTAAAATGTGTTGCAATAACTCTTCATCAGAGACAACTTGACCAGTTGAAGATAAACTTTCAACTATACTACTCATTTTCTTGATGTAAGCATTAACACTAAGACTTCCTTTCTGAGTATTCTTAACTAAGTTTTTCAAGTGTAATGCCCTAGCTTTAGAATCAGCTAAGAATTCGTGTTCTAGAGCAAGCCATATTTCAGTTGAAAATTGACATTTAGAAACACAACTGAACATGCATTATGAGATAGATGCTAATAACCAGGTAATGAGGAACTTATCTATTCTCTTCCAAGCTATATACGCTAGATTAATTTTGTCCTTAAGAGCAGCTTCTTTTGACCTAATTTCTCTGAGCTCATCAAATAGTTCAACTTCAGTAGCAATAAAGGGAGTAGGACATTGAATTACACTTGTCAAATGATCTTCAAGATCATGAGGACCTACGGCAAATAGGACTTGTGACCGTCAAAATCGGTAGTTGTCACGAGTTAATTTGGGAGTTATCACTTGAAGACTTGAAGAAAAGGCTGCGGATTGGAAATTTGCCGATTGATGAAGAACCTTTTCCATGTGATTTCCAGAAAAATCAAAACCAGAATTTTTAGCCATTGACGCAAGTCTATAGCTCTGATACCATGAAAAGATTACAATTAAGGAGCAAAATTGAGAGAAAAAGGAGAAACTATGTTACTTTCTTGTATTGTAAAAGCTGAATTAGTTGCTACAAATGAGAGATCTTCACGTTTTTATATAAAATGAAGACAACAGACTTTTGGTAAAGTAAGTAAAGAAGGAGAAGGAAGCAGCTTAACATCTCTGCTTCTTAACTAACAACTTAAACCGAAACGACATCACTTTGTTTAATTATATTTCGACCCTTATTGTTTGACACTTTACAAACTACTACTCAATATTCTAACAACCTTGAGATTTGAAGAGTATTTCTTGAAATAGCAGTTTGGTGGCAACCAATGAGAAGTATAAAAAAGTTACTTAAGTAAAGCTTGCAGAGTTTTAGATTTTCTAGTGTTGCAACTTGCAAGGAGGAAGGTGAAGGTGATGGACAATCTTTGAAATAAGTTACAATATATAGCTCATTTTTTTGTTAATTAATATAATCTAAAATGAAGTTTGGGGAGGCTTAAATAACACCACTCCCACATATAATCATTCTAGAAGCCCTGGATAAAACATGAGGACTGAATTGATACATCTAACAAATTAATACAATTTGAGAAGCTACAAAGGTTTTACCCTCCATTAGGCCGAACAACATCTTCCCACCCGAAGTTTTCCCTAACAACAATTTACTACCCAAAAAGTTTGAAAACGACAATTACCCACCAACCGTTAAGATTTGTTATATAGTTTCCCACCAATCATTGATATACATGGCGGTGGTGATGGTTGTATGTGGTGGTTCTGGTGGCGGATTTGGAAATGGTGTGTACTTGTCGTTTTCAAACTTTTTGTGTAGTACATTGTCATTATGGCAAACTTCAATTGTGAAGATGTCGTTCGACCCCCTCCGTTAATGACTTTTGGCATTTGACGCAGTTACAGAGACTTTGCAATGACAATAATACCCCTTAACCATGGTTCTCAATTTTTTAATATAAATATATGAAATTGAGCATCAATTTGAATTAAAATCTGAAATAATAACAATACTCTTTATATTAATAAAAAAATATATTCAAATATTTAGAACACGTTAAGTCATTAACAAACCCAGAAAAATAATGAAGAAAACCCACCAACACCTCATCCACAGATCCACTTTACCACCGTTACTCCATCACCTCACCTACTTTGCCACCGTCACTCCACACCTCACCGACTTCACTTCTCACCTCAGGCCACAGCCTTCACAACACTGCTACAATCCGAAATCAACACAAATTACCGCCACACCAACACAAATCAACATCATTCTCTTCTCTAAACCCCTCTTTTTATATCACCCCCAAATAATTTCTCAAAACTTCCATTTCATAATCGAAAGACATTGTCTACGTTTTGTGGATTTGTGTTTGTATTTATTTTCTATTGTTATTTATATTATGATGACTATGGAGTTAGGGATACAGGATAAAGTTGTATGAATAAATGGGGGAGATGATAATTTTATTGGCTTATGGAGGAGAAACCAAATCAATCCCGAATCTGAGTGGTGGAAGTGGGAGTGGGTTTGATTGAGGTGGGAGTGAGTTTGATTGTGGTTGTGATGGAAGTGGAGTTTGAGGGGTGGTTATGGAGGATGGAGAGAGGGGTTGGTATGGTTGTAAAGGTGGAGATGGTTTGTTGCGGTGCCAGATTGCAGACAACCGGTTAGGCAAAACGCCGCCGGCATAAGCTGCAAACCGGACTGGTCAAACGCCAGCAGGCTACGGCCCAGACAATCTAGGTGGTGTTTGGCTGTGGCGATGAGAGCTTAGGTTAAATTAATCAAAGATTTATTTATATATATGAGATGTAAGAGGACAAATTTACCCTTTGAACGTTTTAACCTTAACATTAGAAATTAAAAAATGAGTGGAACGTTTATAGTTTTCCAAACCAGGGGTACTAACTTGTCGATTCGTCATACTTAGGGGGGAACATCGGCCCTCCTACATAATCATTGTATAAGCTCTGGAATCATTCTGGATAAAACATGAGGGCTGAATGGTACATCTAATATATCTTAAGGACCGAACTGTTATTCTTAATTAGGGTTAATAAAAAAGAAGGAAAAGGTTCCAAATATCATGCGAATGTTGTATTTTCTGTTTTCCATCTTTCAAGCCGTCTCTTGACAAACCCTATCGAAATTCTATCGAAAATGTTTCTTAGAACTTCACTTGTTTCTTCAAACACAGCCTTGAAACCTAGATTCTCATCTTCATTCACTCCTTTACGAAATCCCACATCTTCAGTCTCCAAAAATCAATTCCCAAAACAAACCAAACACACACCCACTGTCAAACACCGCTGGAAACACAAGCTCAACTTGATGAATTTCTCCGTGTGAACTGCAGATCCGGTAACTTCTCTCTCAATGAATATTTGGATTAATTGCTTATGCAGATGTCGCGACTTTTAGTTATCTGATTCAAGGTCTTTCAATGAAGAGTAAGATTAAAAAGGTGACAGAATTGTTAAGGAAAATGATTGCTCTTGGTTGTAGGCCTAATGTAGGACTTTGGTTAGCAATATCGCTGTCGCCGTTCGGAATGGTGAATTTGGTGTCGTTTGTAAGCCTAATATTGTTATTTACAGTAGTATTATCGATGGTCTTTGCAAATATGGTTAGTAGGCTAGTCAAAACAAGTGTTTTCTGAAATGAAGACCAAGGGCATTAAACCAGATATGGTTACTTATAGCTCTGTAATTCATGGTTTGCGTTGTAGATGTAATTTGGAGGAGGCTAAAACTTTGTTTATGGAGATGTTGGATGAAGGTGTACAGCCTGATGTGGTGACATTTAGAGTTGTAATGGATGAACTTTGTAAGATTGGAAAGATGAACGAAGCCAATGGGTTGCTCCAACTGATGATTTATAGAGGTGTTCATCCAGACATATGTACTTATAACACAATTTTGAGTGGCTATTGCTTGGCAGGTAGAACTGACGATGCAAGGGAGCTATTTGTCTCTGTGGTGAGTAAGGGGTGTAAGCCTAATGCTGTTAGCTACAATATGTTGATGGATGGTTTATGCGTGGCAAATAAAATTGATGATGCTAAGCAGTTGTTTGAATCAATGACGAGTAAGGGATCAGGCCTAATGTAGTTAGCTACAATACTGTGATCGTTTGGTATTACAAGAACCAAAAAAATTGATGAAGCTATGATTGACTTTAAAGGGAGTTAAGCCCCGAGTTGTTACGTATAGCACTTTGCTAACTGGTTTTTTTCTTACTGATGAAGTTGGACATGCACGGAAACTATTTGGTGAGATGCAACTCAATAATGTTACACTCAATTTCATTACTTACAATATTCTTATTGATGGCCTCTGCAAAAATGGTTGTATGTTGGAGGCTGTTGAACTATTTCATACTTTAGGAAATGGAAACTTTCAACTTGACATCCAATCATCAATTGTCTCATTGATGGATTGCACAAAGCAGGGAGACTCGAGATTGCAAAATCAAGACTTGGTTCCAAGTGTTGTGACGTATAACATTATGTTGGATGAGCTTTGTAAAGAAGGGCGCTTAGAAAAGGTTTGTGATTTGTTATCAGATACGGAAGCAAAAAGGTGTTGCTCCAAATGTAGTCTCATTTAATACGCCTATGTATAACTTCTTAAGGCATAATGAGACCTCAAAAGTGGTTGAATTTCTTTTCAAAATGAGAAAGAGAAATGTGATGCAAGATGCATCCACAAATTCAATAGTTCAAAACTTAGTGGTGAAGGATGAAAACTAGCGTGAATGGCTAAACTTGCTTCCATCATTTTCTGTAGGAGAGCGGACTGGAAGTTGATTGTTGATTAACTGTATTCTCAATGTAGTAAGGCTTCATAAACCTTATTAGATGCCAAAGTACATGTCTTCTATGACAAGTAAAGCTTCTTCTCGCTCAACAACAAAGCAAAGCAGTAAAGTTGCTACATCTATAGAGGGGAATGCAACTTGATACCACAAATTCTGATAGATTCTTGTAGTAAGTAAGTTTTAGGCATTTCTTCTCAGATGTGTTTTTAATAGGATCAAATAGTTGACTTAATTTTATTGCTCAGGAATAGATATAATAGTTATCTCATCTGCCCATATTGCTCATTATTTGTATTTGCTATGAGAAAGAAAGACCTTTATGAGTGGATTTAGGTGCATTACAATGGTTTTGTTCTTCAACTGACAGATTCCATAAGCCCCAGTGATCTGTTAAAGCATGGATTTAATTGTGTAAATGAGTGATCATTATGTAACTATTATCAGTTTTTTAGGATTTTGGTGTTCTTTGGTTGAGTTGTCATGTTGAAAAGCTAATCATCCTTTCCTTGCTGTTGATGTCTTGATAAACTTGAAAAGGATTATCCCGGGTCTCGCAGTTTAAAATATTGATATTACCCCCCTGGAATATTATGATTTGAATTTGGCTCTTCTGACAGTCCTACTTTTACAGCAGATTCTTTTTCTCTTTTTATTTGAATGGTGAAACATCATCCTGAAGTTCGACAACTCTGTGAAGCTTTTAAAGAATGGCAGCTCCTTGTTATGATGATTTGCTCTAAAGTACCATGTTAGTGAAACAATAATACTGCAAATTCCTGCACTGCTCTTCCTGAAAAGTGAAAACAAAGGTCGGAATTTTTTATTTTTTTTGAAAAATTAATTAAAGCTGTGTAAATAAAAACCAAAACTGTAAGCATCCAACATTTCGTGGTTCCCATACTGCAGTTGAAAATGTTTTTAAAATATTTCTAAATATTTTTTTATTTATCATATCATATAACATATGATTATAATAGAAAATGCCATTTTTAAACTGATTTTATACATATTTAAAAGAAGGTTATGTTTATTCTGTTATTTAATTTAATTTACAAGCGGGATTCAAAACAAAAACTAACTAAAAGAAAAAAAAAATTATAATGAAAAAGAAATATGACCTACTTTTAAACCCCAGGTGCAGTGCAATGTGGACAGTTAGATTTCCATAGATGCAAACAGTAGCAAAATCTTGAACCGCAATCTGAACCGCATCATGACTCGTTTGGGCCCACTATGATAAAATCAACACACCAGGCGCTCCCTAACTTTTAATGCGGATGTAGATAAACTTTTTCTCCGCAATTTTTAATTACCTCCTAATTTTAAACCGCCGCATCTCCAAAATTCAAAAATTTCACTTCGTCCAATACAAACCAATCAAGGCTAGAGTGTTGGCTGAGTGTAACTCGGTGACTCAGTCCCATTCTCAAACGATCTCGAGACTTTTTCGATCCATTAGTGTCTAACTTTAGTTCAATATTGATTTTGATCTTTTACTGATCTCTGCAATGGATGAGTCCGAGAAACAGAGCGATCTTGAAATTCAAGAGCTCAGTCTCATCGACGTGTCGTTTGAAGACGATTGCCTCATCAATTCGGCTTTCACTAGCCCTCTACACCATCCATTTTCAGGTTCTCTTCTTAATTGATTATGGTTCGGTCTTGCTTTTTATAAAATCGGATAAATTCTTTGTTTCTTTTAGTCTTTGACTGGTATATGAGGTATGATATACGAGAATCTTGAAGGACGTCTCTTCATTTTGAAAGTGTTTATTGAGTTTCTTGCTTTTGGTACTTCAGATGAAACTACGAATAGTGTAAAGATTGAGGCGTTGGTACTGAGTATGCTCTAGGTTTGAAGTTATGCGATGACTATCCTTTCAATATTCCCAATATTACGTTGTTAATTGAGTATTTAATTCACTTGATATATCAATTTGTTGATCCTCTGGTTAGCTGCTGAGATTAACCAATTTTTGGATGTTTGTAGTGAAGATCTTTCAATTATTTCCTTTTCTTTCTTTCTTTCTTTCTTTTTTTCTGTTTGGTTTTGGTTTTAATTAATGCATGATATATGCTTGCACACTTACATTTGAGGTTTTATATTACAGCGAAGTAAGTATCTTTGTGTTGTCAGTGATGCGTAGAAAGGAAATTTTATTACCTTTGAAATTGTTTCTTGTATGATTTTAGATGCGGCATGAAGTGTTGGGCTAGCCTCAGTTTGAAATAAAGATTCTTTAATGAATGTTCAAGTTTCTGGATTTACAGTTTTTATGGTCTCATGTCAACATTCTTATAGTGGATATTGTGCTTTTCTACTGATGTGAATTTACTTGATGTTCAGAGAATCAGGAGCAAAAAAGTGTGAAGTTCTTGGAACCTTTTGAAGCTGTGGAAACCTCATTTAACTCCCCTGAAGTGAGGAAAGAAGAGTCTCAGCCAGTTGAATCATTGGAACCAGGAAAGACAAGAAGTGGACAATATAACTTGCGCAAAAGTTTGGCCTGGGACAATGCTTTCTTCACTAGTGAAGGCATGTTTCTTATTTAAATTTATTTGCTGTGTTTTTTTCCTCGCATTTTTAGCCAAAGTTTGGGACTTATGGTTAGAGTATATCTTCTATGCTATCAGGATTTCTGGATTCTGAGGAGCTTTCCAGTATGATTGGAGGCACCGAGAAAAGAGAGAAGCATGTATTATTGCCTGGAATTCAAGAAGACATCCACAGATCTACAGATTCACTATCTACATTAGACAGTGATACTTTGACATTAAAAAGTCTTGAGGTTGATTTGTTTAAAGATATAAGAGCTTCAATCCAGAAATCTAGCCGAGTGTCCAATGTGGCAAATTCAAATAATAAGAAGAAATTAGGGGTGACAGAGTCCCAAACTATGCAGTGTGAGAATCTTTTTTTGTTTTGTGCCTTTTCTTTTTCCTCAATTCGAGAAAATTCTTTGCTTTGTTTTTTCTGCATGCTAGTACACCATTTGATTTTTGATACCGCTTTTGAGATCCTCATTCTGGTCTGACACTTCAATATTACCTCCAGTAAATCATCATCTAACAACTTCTTCTTTTAGTGAATTCAAACAGTTATCTTCAATTTCAATGTAATTAAATAACCAAACTAAATTTCATAGGTCTGTAGTATGAGATGACATAAGAGATGCTAACACATTACCTAGATTACTTCTCATGTTAAACCACTTTTCTGGTGACATTAATGGATCAATCCAGCTATTTGATGTGAAGAATTATTTAAAGTAGGTTAATCTCACTGTAGAATTTGGTGTATGCTATTCAGATTCCTTTTGGTTCTCCTTGTATATTTCCATATGCTTGAAGCTTGCATGATGGATTTGTTTGTTCATTTTCTTGACCCCTTATTTTGGTTTTTTGCTTCCCACTTTTCTTTTACCTGCCAAGATCATATTAATGGAGCTACTCTGTTAATTAGTTAATTTCTAGATATTGGCTGGAGTCATTAAATTAGTCTTCTGTGTGCAAGTATTACTTAAAACTAATCGGAAACTATGCTTTATCTTTCAGCTTCAAAGAATGAGAATCTAGCATCTCGAGATAAGGTAAGGTCAACTCGCAAAATGTACCTTTAATCAGTAATTATTTTGTGGATGTCTTGTATGTACTAGTTAATCTCGTTGCAATTTCAGATGAAGCCAAAAATTGCTTCCAGAAAGCTTAGTGCTGGCACTCTAGGACCAGGGAAAACAACAAAGCAGACCTCTGTTCGTCTACAAGCCTCACAGGCATGCATTTTCTTAGTGCTCAACAAATTTCACTTGCATATGTGCATCTAATTCTTGGGAATTATGTGGGATTTTCTAACTAGAGCAAAGAGTATGGCCATTTAATATGGCACATGCTGTACTGCTTAATTTCTCAGTCTATAAAAACCATTGGGCTGTTCAAGCAGCTATGTTTTGCCATTCTTTGAAATATGAAAATTAAGAAATTTTTTGCTCTCAATGTACTACCTAGTTGGTTTAAACGTTACAAAATCATGAAGAGATCTTGGATAGGGTTTAACCGAAACAATTTTTGTGCAGTCTGTTGTTACAAATGGAGAGTTGACTTCATCTCCTTGTAAACCACCCAAGGCACGTGGTAGAATTAATCCTATCCCAACGCCAACGATATCGACCAAGAGGGCTTCCATGGGTGCTAACCGTGCCAAACTGGAAAAAGATAATCACAAAAATGCATCTGGTAATTTTAGCCCCAGCTTATATGTCTAACTTCATTTGACGTTGGCTGTATTAGTTTTATGGATTAACTTCTACACAGGCTGAACTGTTTGTTCTTTTACTGAATATATTTGCTTTTGACCTGAATTAATGAGCAGGTAAAGGAGCTCCAACATCAAAAATACCTTCTTCAGGTTCACGGAATATAGTTCCCAGGCCTACACTACCTTCTAGATCTTCTTTGCGTTCTTCAACTGCAACTAAAGCGGAGCTAACAACTTCTTGTTCCTCATTTGGTAGTTCTTGCAGTGTTTCATCTGACAACATTGGTAAAATTTCCTTAAATTCCATGAAAAGAAAAAATAATTCTGGTATTAGTAATGCTTCTTCTGCTGGTTCAACTGTCAAATCCATGTCAAGAACTGCACCAAAGGTTAAAAGTCAGTCAGGAAGTTCACATATTACGGCTTATTTGAGGTCTGTCGCCAAGCACTCTTCTAGCATATCACCAGCTAGCTCTATAAGTGAATGGTCCTCAGAGTCAACAGCATCAACTTCTACTGCTAATCAAAGGCGTAATAGTACAAGAGCTAGTGTAGACTCTAATTCTTCAAAATCAGTCTCTGTAGACAATGATGCCTTACAACGTTTGAATTTTCACGATTCCAATGATCAAAGCTCGGCTGGAAATGATGCCAAGTTCCCTGGTTTGCAAGGTGAATCTGTGAAGGGAGCTTCGATGAAAACTGGTCCAATTCTTTGTCCATCTTCAAAACCCTCTGGCCTTCGATTGCCGTCGCCTAAAATTGGCTTCTTTGATGGGGTCAGTTCTGGTTTTCCTATTATAATTACTGCATACTAGATGGGGAACCGGTTTTGCAAAATTAACTTATATATGTTTTTTGGCAAAATCAGCTTGCTCAATTTTATTTTGCAAATTTTGCTTTGTTAGGCAGGTATTAAACCATCATGAAATTTTATGTTTCCAGGTCAGATCAGCAGGGCGGACTCCCAATGGAAGTATGCAATCTCATCCCGGTGTACCCAGTGCCTTGCCTAAAATTGGAGCTGGAATTACTAGCCCAAGTGGAGGCTCAAACAAGTCAAAACTTGGAAAGATTCAACCGGCTAGAACTGCATTTCCGGTTCGGAATGTCAAACCTGATGCTCAGCAAAGTGCCATGACTGTGAAACCTAGATCTCCTTTACCTCCTCAAGAATCCTTAATTGCTGCAACAAAGGTCTCTAGTGCTTCAAAAAATGTGAAAAGCCCACTTGTATCTCCAAGAGTTCAGAGTAGATTGTCTTCTAAAACTGGTCGAGAAAGTGTTTCGAAGGCTGAGGAAGTTGATTCTAAAGGACATCATATAAGCGCTCAAAACTCTGGTTTGGCAGAAAAGAAAGGCATCTCAAGTGTCTTGAAACAAAGAGTAAGCCCCAAAAGCAATGGTAGAGCCAATGAACCAGGTTCCAAGTTCACTACTATGAATGAAGAACTCAACGCTTCTCATAATTTAATTCCCACTTTTGATGCTGAAAATATCAATCCGTCTCAACAAGTGGTTGAAGATGCAACATCTGGTCAGCAATTTCTCAAGAATGATTTAAGTTCTGTTCATAAGTCAAATGAAAAGGAGACGGTTCCTCGTGAAGATGAAGTCGCTGTTCTGACCAGACAAGTTGGAGCTATGGATATAAATGTGGAGTTAGAGAAGAAAGTCGTCTCACCTTCCCCAGAGAGCATTCTGGCAGAGAACAACTAAGCTGGTGTAATAATTTAGCAGCAGCAGCAGTATTTTTTTCTTGAAGGTATAGTTGATATAATTACTTAAAATTGTAAAGGGATCCTAGATGTCTATTTTTATTGTAAGTTAACCGGTCTTGTATTTTGATGTTATGCAGGTATCTTGTAAAATCTGATGTCTGTACGTGGAGTTTTTCTTTATTGGATTTAGCACCATTTGATACAAGGGTATGCATGAAATCAAGAGTGGAAATAATTTTAGTGGTTTTCATGTATATCTTAGTCTTATACGTAACATCCATGTTAAGTAATTTATTTTACTTTTCTTTTTTTTAATGGAAGTCCACTGAAGTCTGAAGTACAGTACTATTAAAAATTTTGTCTGTAATGTGTTTCCTGTACCCACTAGCTCTTTTGTTTCAAGTTTTTCAAGCAAACAATTTACGAAAACTTGTTTGAGAGGATAATTTTATAACATTGGACGGTGATCAAATTTAAAAATCTCTTGCCAAAAGGTAATAATAATTATCTTATGAGTAATGCAATTCCAATTTCGTATTTTGGTATCTCTTCTTTTGTGGTTGGATGGCAAGTCTTTTAATTATTAGGGTTATTTATATCCCCAAGTCTAGAGTTGTTGGCGAGATAATTAATTAATTATTGGGTTTATCCGAAAAAAAAAATGTCAACTTTGGTTGAAAATATTACATGAGATTTAATAATGTTCATTTAACTTTGTAGTGTAAAATGTCACCAAAAGAATAACATTTATCACACCAATATTTGTATATATAGGTTAAACTAATCAGAAACAAACATATTTGGCCAAGATAAAACAATATCTCAATGCCCCCATGGCTTCGTAAAAATCACAAATGCACCTACACTGCCCAGAAACCATTTTGTCCTTGTAAGCCATTTGCTTGAGAGAGAGAAATATGCGTTTTAATTTATTCTTAATTAAACTTTATTTATTTATTTATTTTTTTGTCGTATTTTGATTAAAGTTTATCTCTCCGCTCTACAACTACTACTTACAAATTTATTTTTAATATGAATATAAATTAATTGTCATAATTTAATTAAAATTTACATGTTTGTTATATTCTTAATCTGTAATTACTTGCATACTCCCAGCCAACCGACTTCTTTTTGGATTCGAAAGTAGTGTAAAATTGAAACAAACCCAGCGCAAGGAAAAGCAAATGATATGCTCTGGAATCTGCATACGAGAGATGAATGACAACAGCTTGAACGAGTGACAATTTAAATTCTAGAGTCAAAATGGCACCACAAAGCCCATACATTAACTAGACGACTGATCAAAAATTGTTCACAAAATCCACTCAAAAGAGAAAAAGTAACATTGCAAATCTTTAAATAAACTATCAAGAGACTTGGATAAAAAGTGTCCTCCTTAAGACCTTGGCTTCTCCTTCTTCTCTTTGAAGAGTGCCAAGAGGGAGACACCAGAAACCTTAACAACCTTAAACCTGACACCGGGAATATCTCCGACGGCATGACCCTTACGACCAAATCCAGCAATCAACACCTCATCCTACAACAACATAACATTCATAATCAGGGATATCTACTAGTGTAGAAAATTATATGTTCTAAAAAATATACTACTTACATTTTCTTCGATGTAGTTCAAGCAACCATCATTTGGAACAAAGGCAGCAATCTTCTTCCCATTCTTGATCAATTGGACTCTCGCACATTTACGAATAGCAGAGTTAGGCTGCTTAGCTTCAATACCACTGCACAATCATTATATAGTTAGATTAGTCAGTGAACACTATCCAGGAACACGATAAAAGTATAAAGCACAATCTTACATCTTCTCAAGAACAATTCCTTTAGCATGGGAAGACCCAGCAAATGGCTTCTTCCATTCATTTCCAAGGTTGGACTTCTTGTATGCCTTGTCTGCCCACCTTTGATTCCTGCGGTGGGTCTTCAGCTTGCGACCAGCTCCCATACCACGTGTCTTCCTGAATACAAAATTGCTCTTAATATCGTCTAATCAATATATCCAATAGATTTCTTTTTTTAAAAATAAAATAAACTAAGACTTATGGTGCCCTTCTACACTGACAAGCTTCAAGATGATGAACCATGTTAAAATGAAAGCACAAAAAATTAAAATAAAATTAATTGCAACCAGTAAGGTTGTCTAAACTACATAATGAATATCAAGAACACATCTAAACATTCTGATCAAACTTAGCACCTAAACAAATCACCAACAATTTTTCATTCGCATGACCTTCATATATGATTAATATCAGAATCAAATAGACTTAGCTCGACAAGCATAAACTCTATAATTCACTAAAACTGATGCAGATTACTAAGATTTTTCTAAGTTAAAAATAAAGCATTTCAATTTTCTATAATCCAATAAACAACGAATCAATACCAAAGGAATCCTTACATTACGATCAGCAAATGAGAAAAATTAACGCCCAACTTTTTAAATCAGATTCAAGACTTAATAAATGCTCCTCTATAAATCTTCCTGAGGTTACAGAAACTAACAGGATAATACAAAATGATGATCTAAACTACTAAACCAACGAAAACTCCTATTAGAGCCCTGGATTTGCGACAAACGTATTATCCTTAGCAAAATGAAAGAAGAGTTACGTACCCCATGATGGCTAGGTAAAGATATCCGACTGCTACGAGCTCTGAAAACGAAGACTGAGAAGAAACAGCAGCCGCTTTGTAAAACCCTAGCCTTGTAAAGGAAGTGGATGCTCTTTATTATAGAGATTTTTTGAATTGGAGCATTGTTGACTCGTCCATCCGATGGATTTTTAGGGTCAGTTTGGTCTGTCCTTTGTCCAGATTTTTAATTCGGGCCGCTCACTGGGCCGGTTGGAGCTCCATCAAATAGACTGGTTGGAAATATATAATATTTCCATATTATATTAGCTCCTTATTATTTTTTTTTTTCTCATAATATAAAACTTTAAGTTAATTATGCCATTCTCAATAATTTAGTTCATATTTATTATATTATTTTTTATTGGTGGGATAGTGATTTAATTTTTACTTAATTTTTTAACACTTTTTATTAGTCGTTCATCCTTGTTGACCTCTTGTTAAACTCGACCAGAAAGCAGAACTCATTGTATTAAAACTCGGACCAGAAAGCAACCTTTTTGTTGCCCAGGTTACCGGTCCAACCGGTTAGACCGTGAAGTCAGCGATAATTTTATTTTTAAAAAATTATATTACCCTTAAATTTTAATATATTAATTCCCCTAAAAAGTTAAATTAGTCCCTAAAATTTTTTTTATGTAAAAGATACCCCAAAATTACCACTTAATCCTTAACTTTTGACATATCTCCAAAACACCCTATAAAATTACATATGAACCCTTATAATTTTGAAATATTATAAAATTCCCCTAAGACCTGAACCGACCGGAGAAGCTGCCTCGGTCCCGGTCCGACCGGTCGGTCAGTCCGATTTTTAAATGAACCAACAATATAATAATGTTGAATTAATATTAATATAACTACCCATAACTTTGCAGTTTGCACTTATCACCATTAGATAATAAATGTAATATTCACCAGGTTGTCAGAAAATAAATTATTATAGGTTAAAATAATGAGTTGATTACCCCCCTTCCTAAAACCCTAAATTATAGTAAAAACAAGCTAAGAAAGTAACTTTTTTTTTTTCCCATATTTCACTTCTCATTTATGATAATAATAGAGAAAATTAAATTAAGAAAATTCAAGGAGTTGGTTCACAATTGAAAAGTTTTGCTCCCTTAATTGACTTCTTACATTCAAACCACTTTAAGGTTTACCCTGAAACATTCGCTTATGAGTGTTAATAGCCCTGAGGATTGTTTGAATTACGCATAAACTTGTCGAAAGATCATAAAAAAAATAAGAGAATGAGTCAAAATATTCCGAACCCTTCCATAAAAGTCCGATAGTTATTAATCAAAATATATGATGAAAAGAAGAATTGATTTGTGATTCTCAATCTCAGCCTTCATATTGGTCATTCCGAAAAAAATTTAAGGTTAAATAACTTATTAAATAGGTACAAATATTAACTCAAAACAGCATCCAAATTATATACTGAAATTTATATCCATCTAACAGAGAAAACTCTAACTGCCAATTGTAATCACGGAATGCATCTTGCAATTTCTTTTATGAGGTTTATTTCTTATCCCTATTAATATCTGAAATGGAGTAAAAAAGTAATGCCTTTTGTGACACGCAGGACGGCCTGCATCTAAAACATCATATTATTCAAAACCTGTTTCTCTTATTTCACCAAGAAACTTTTTCAATCATTCATGACTCCTTAAAACGAAAGAGCAAGACTGGTCAATTTGTTTTTTAACACATCCTGAAATAGGACAGGTTATATTCATTTGAACACTTGTTTTAAATCCAGGCAGTAATGGCTCAAAACAAACTGCTTCATACCATACTGAAAAACTTCTAAGAGATACAACACTTGTCTCTGTGTCCAAACCCCCATAATACATCAGGTGAAACGTAATTCAGATTGAAAAGTTCACCAGTTTTACACGTCTATACGAATTTGCAAAAAAGCTTCAAGTCTTTTTTAAATTTATTGGCATCTACTTTGAAACCTTCCAAAATACCTGTTAAATAATCAGAAGAGATATTTAGACGGAAAGTAATGAAACAACCAAAAGTTATAATAGAACTACTATATGCAACCTGCCAGGTTCTCTACCTTCTACTTCTGGCCTTTCTTCCATAGTACCCCAATCTTCTTCAGCATGTTTGCATTTTTCTTCTTGGGAGAGTCTCATCCATGTCTTCTGAGTAAGGAGATCCCGTAGTCCCATTCATGGTTTAAAGTTGCTTTCTACATATTTCCCATGTTTACCGGTTGAAAGCATAGCTGTGGCTGCCTCAGCTGCCTCCTCCCCTGGTCTGACTGACTTTAATCTCCTCATTTCAGCCTCCATTTCTGTATTTGCCACCTGTGCTGCGTCAAGTTGCTCAGTCACACGTGTTGCTCTTCTGCTGCTTTTATCGGCTTCCTCCGTTAAATAGCCCACTTCATCAAAGCTTCTCGCTCCGCAGCCCTAGCTGCTTCGGCTAAGTATAGCTTCATCATTGACTTTGTTTCTATCTATTTTCTCTTCTTTCAATCTCCAACTTGAGCATTTCATTTTGCTCGGTTATACTCTGTAACTCTGTCTCCTTATCCAACATACTTGCCTTCAACTCACTAAATCTGCCTCTAACTTCTTCAACTCCATTTCAAGTTCAGAATCTCTTCCTTAGGTTCATTTTTCCTGATCTTCAAATTCAGTCCCTCATTTTCCTCTGATATATTTTGCAGTTCTGTTCCTTGTCCATCAAATTTCCTCTCAACTCTTCGATATGAGCTTTGGCATTCTTCAATTCTGTCTCCAATTCAGCATCTCTCTGGCAATTCTGATTTTAGACGCTCACTTGTTCGTATGCACTTCTAACTGTAATGTGCTC